AAATATGAGTCAGTTGCCAAAGGTCGGAGTGTTGATCGGGTGATCGTGTGGATGCTGCAACGGAAAAACGGTCATAAATCCCTTTTTTTTAGTGCCATCGCAGCTTTGAACGGTCACTAAATGAACAGTCGTTAAGTCGGGGACTGCATGTATTAGCTCAACTGAGCAGTCCTTAGGTATAGGTTTTTCTGTTTATGAGAAAGGATTTAGGACCCAGGTACAGCCTCACAAGTTTCGGAGACGCTTGGATCAACAGCTGAGGGGAAAGCCCAGCATCGCAACTTATTGCAGACTTCCTCCTGGGGTTCTAGAAAGAAACGTGAGCCTGTGAGAAGCTCAGTGTGCAATGTTAGCAAACTGACAATGCACACACTATCCATTCTGAGCTATCCTAGTCCAGGGGTAGGCAACCTTGGCAACTTTAAGACTCATGGACTTCAACTCCCAGAATTCCTGAGCCAGCATGGCTCAGCTTGGAAACCTCTCCCTTTCCCCTCAGCGTGGCTGGCTCAGGAATTCTGGGAGTTGAAGTCATGAAGGGGGCCATAGTTCCCCCATGCTGGCTCAGGAATTCTGGGAGTTGAAGTCCAGAAGTCATGAAGGGGGCCATAGTTCCCCCATGCTGGCTCAGGAATTCTGGGTAGTTGAAGTCCACGAGTCATAAAAGAGCCAAGGTTGTCTACCCCTGCCCAAATGCCTGAATTTTGATCACATGACCGTGAGGAAAAAATATTTAAATATTTAAACCAGGGGTCTTCAAACTTGGCCCTTTTATGACTGGTGGACTTCAACTCCCAGAATTCCTCAGCCAGCATGGAGGAACTATGGCCCCCTCATGGCTTGTGGACTTCAACTCCCAGAATTCCTGAGCCAAATGGCTCAGCTTGGAAACCTCTCCCTTTCCTCTCAGCGTGGCTGGCTCAGGAATTCTGGGAGTTGAAGTCCACCAGTCATAAAAGAGCCGAAGTTGCCTACGTCTGGCCTAGACCAAGTCACGTCCAAAAACAGGGACTTTCTAGAAGCCTGCCATTCTGACCAATTAGCCCTCACTAGACACATTAACACATTGACAATCTCTGTAGACTATGCAATAGGGACCATCAACAATCAACTGGCCAAAAAGAGAACAAAAAGACCCACACATGTCTCCTTCAGATCAGCATAGATTAACGCCAAGGTTAATCCACAGACCAACAATCAAGTAAACAATACACCAATCAAGAAACTGCCCCCAAAGTCAACAGCAAACAGCCCAAGCAAAGAATCTCTTAAGATCATCCCCACCAACCCTGACAAGGCAAGACACTAGAGTTAAACTAAGCTTCTCACTATCATAGCACTGATGATGTTACCTAGTTTGGTAACGAAAGCTCAGAGAGCGTTCAGGACCCCACAAATGAAATATTAAGGAACCACAGTTTTGGGAGAAGAACAAGGGCGAAGACTGTATCTAGGTTGGGTTGGGGTTTTAAGAGTGAATTTTTCAAACCATTGATGAGGGGACTGGAACACGGGAATGACGTTTTCTCTGACCTGCTTCCACATTGTTTTCAGCTTTATCTTCAGAATATTGATCCTAACTTACTGGTTAAAGTGCCTCAGTTTTAGACTGGGGATGATGTGAATCTCCCAGGCATGTGAACTTTTAAAAAAAAAAAAAAAAAAAACTTTAAAAGCCTCACCCTGAAATATTGTTCAGAATTATTTTTTAAAAAAATGTTCTTCAAGGGCTTGCCATATGTTATATGGCTGCTATAGTCTTATAGAGGAAAGCTCAAAGGATGGAATTCTTCAGCCGCAAATGTCTGAATCTAAATTGGAACAATATTGTCTAAATAGATGGCACATCGTAGACCAAGAGTGGAATCTTGGCAAAATGTCACAATATCGGCAGTGTGAAATAAAGTCTTGTTTTGTAGGCAATTTCCTTCCAGCTATGGAATTTTAGAAGTTGCTTTATCTTCAACGCAGCCTGTTCTAACCACACACAAAAAAAACAATACTTTGTAAATGATGGCACTTGCCATTCAAGCATTTTCTATTTTGGCCTTCAGATATGTGTTTCCAAGCTTCTTTCCAAGAAATGTAACGTTTTATATTGGTGACGTTACAGTAAACAGAGAACAACTTTAAAGTTCAGTTGGCATTTCTGATTGTTCACATCCAGAGCAGAACAGAAATATTTATCCTAACAGCATATTGTATGGATCATAAACTTCAGATTTTATTGTAAAGAAATCTGGACCAGGAATAAATTGTTGCCACCAGCATCCCTCCCAAATAGTGTAAGGATGCTTAGGAACAAATATATCATCACTATGTCCTAGAATTATACAGCTGGGAGGGACCACAGAGATCGTCTAGTCTAAACGTCTGCCCAAAACATCTAGGACAAATCGTTGTCCAATCTTGGACAAATCGTTGTTCAATCTTTTCTTGAAAATCTCCAGTGATGGAGCACTCACAATTTTGGGATGCAAGCTGTCCCATTGATTAATTGTTCTCTCTGTCAGGAAATTTCTCCTTAGTTCCAGGTTGCTTCACTCTTATATGAACATTCATTCCTTGCTTCCTGTCCTGCCCCTCAGGTGCTTTGGAAAATTAAGTTAATCCCATCTCCTTTGTGACAGCCTCTCAAGTACCAGAAGAGAGCTATCGTGTCTCCCAGAGTAGAGTAGAGTAGAGTAGAGTAGAGTAGAGTAGAGTAGAATAGAATAGATTAGAGAAGAGAAGAGAATAAAATAGAATATAATAGAATTAGGAATAGGAATAGAATAGAATATGGAATGGAATGGAATGGAATGGAATGGAATAGAATAGAATAGAATAGAATAGAATAGAATAGAATAGAATAGAATAGAATAGAATAGAATAGAATAGAATAGAATAGAATAGAATAGAATAGAATAGAATAGAATAGAATAGAATAGAATAGAATAGAATAGAATAGAATAGAATAGAATAGAATAGAATAGAATCGAATAGAATAGAATGAATAGAATAGAATAGAATAGAATAGAATATGGAATGGAATAGAATAGAATAGAATAGAATAGAATAGAATAGAATAGAATAGAATAGAATATGGAATGGAATAGAATAGAATAGAATAGAATAGAATAGAATAGAATAGAATAGAATAGAATAGAATAGAATAGAATAGAATGGACTAGACTAGACTAGACTTGACTTCACTAGACTAGACTAGACTAGACTAGAATAGAATAGAATAGAATAGAATAGAATAGAATAGAATAGAATAGAATATGGAATAGAATAGAATAGAATAGAATAGAATAGAATAGAATAGAATAGAATAGAATAGAATATGGAATGGAATGGAATGGAATGGAATAGAATAGAATAGAATAGAATAGAATAGAATAGAATAGAATAGAATAGAATATGGAATGGAATGGACTAGACTAGACTAGACTAGACTAGACTAGACTTACTAGACTAGACTAGACTAGACTAGAATAGAATAGAATAGAATATGGAATGGAATAGAATAGAATAGAATAGAATAGAATAGAATAGAATAGAATAGAATAGAATAGAATAGAATAGAATAGAATAGAATATGAATGAATGGAATGGAATATATAGGAATAGAATATGAATGGAATGGATGGAATGGAATGAATGGAATGGAATAGAATAGAATAGAATAGAATAGAATAGAATAGAATAGAATAGAATAGAATATGGAATGGAATGGAATGGACTAGACTAGACTAGACTAGACTTACTAGACTAGACTAGACTAGACTAGACTAGACTAGAATAGAATATGGAATGGAATAGAATAGAATAGAATAGAATAGAATAGAATAGAATAGAATAGAATATGGAATGGAATGGAATGGAATAGGATAGAATAGAATAGAATAGAATAGAATAGAATAGAATAGAATAGAATAGAATAGAATAGAATAGAATAGAATAGAATAGAATATGGAATGGAATTGAATGGAATGGAATGGAATGGAATGGAATAGAATAGAATAGAGAAAAGGAATAGAATATAATAGAATATAATAGAATAGAATAGAATATGGAATGGAATGGAATGGAATAGAATAGAATAGAATAGAACAGAATAGAACTTCTCTTCATTAAGCTAAACATACACAGTTCCCACAACTGTTCATCGTACTCTCTAACAGGATCCCTAATCATCTTTGTTGCTCTTCTTTGCACTCTTTCTAGAGCCTCAGCATCTCTCTCTCTCTCTCTCTCTCTCTCTCTCTCTCTCTCTCTCTCTCTCTCTCTCTCTCTATCTCTCTCGTATTCAAATAGCATATTTAAACTGCTATTCTGAACTTGCAAAGTTGAAAAAAAAGAAAGAGTATAGAGAAGAGCAACCAATATGATTTAGAGGAGTGGAGGCTAAAACATATGAAGAACAGTTACTGGAACTGGGTCTGTTTAGGCTAAAAGTAACATTTTTAACTCTTATCAGAGAAGTAAAACCTTTATTCCCATGTCACGTTCACCGTGACAAACTCTCCTGAAGCTATCCCAGGTGTCTCCAAACTTAAGAGTACTGGACTTCAACTCCCAGAATTCCCAGAATTCCCTAGCCCACATGGCTGGCTGATGAATTCTGGGAGTTGAAGTCCAGAATTCTGACATCTCCCAATGACTATTCCAGCACATTCCTGTAAGGATCAACCTTTCGTCCTCTACAAAATATAAATTAACGTTGCATGAAATGGTTTCGCACGTTAACAAAAAATTGTGCAAGAAAAATATCCAGGACCGTGCCAACCGTCTTGCTTATTTCAATGACATAATGGCATTAAATGTCAATGACATATATAATTTATAATCATTGGGAAACAGCTGGAAGATAATGATGATTATTTTTTTAATCTAAAGTGTCACATTCCTGTTTGGTGCTTAAAACCTAAAAGTTATGCAATATCACCATTAATAGGAAATCATTGTCATCCTTTCGAATGACCGTTTTCGGAGAACATAGCAGTATGTGCAAAGCATTGCTGTGGTAGCAGAGTCGCCGTTATTTCTACGAATAACTAGCCATAACAGACTCAATTCAGTTACCATCCTTAAAAATAAATCCATCTGTTTTCCCTGAAAGGAGAGTAGTAAAAATCATGAGGCTGGTTCTTATCCAGCTCCACCCAGAGAGAGCCAACTCACACAGAGGTTGAGAACATTGTTGTAAATCTTTTGAACTGTCACGTAGTACTAAGGAATGCTAAGATAAATTGTTTGCCTCTACGAGTTCTTGTAGCAAATCTCAGTGACTGTAAGATATTTTATTAAAGGAGATGGTAGAGAGATGGATGCATGGATGGGTGAAAGAAAGAAGGAAGGAAGGAAAGAAAAGGAAGAAAGGAAGGAATATGAAAGAGGAAGGAAGAAAAGGAGGGAGGGAGGGAGGAAGGAAGGCAGGCAGGAAGGAAGGAAAGAAAGAAAAGGAAGAAAGGAAGGAATATGAAAGAGGAAGGAAGAAAGGAAGGGAGGGAGGAAGGAAGGAAGTAAAGAAAGAAAAGGAAGAGAGGAAGGAATATGAAAGAGGAAGGAAGAAAGGAAGGAAGATGAGGGAAGAAAGGGAGGAAGGAAGGGAGGGAGGAAGGAAGGCAGGAAGAAAGGAAGGAAGGAAGGTGAGAAAAGGAAGGAAGGAAGATGAGGGAAGAAGGAAGGGAGGGAGGAAGGGAGGAAGGAAGGAAGGTGAGAAAAGAAAAGAAGGAAGATGAGGGAAGAAGGAAGGGAGGGAGGAAGGAAGGAAGGTGAGAAAAGAAAAGAAGGAAGATGAGGGAAGAAGGGAGGAAGGAAGGAAGGAAGGCAGGCAGGCAGGAAGGTGAGAAAAGGAAGGAAGATGAGTGAAGGAAGATGAGAAAGGGAAGGAAGGAAAAGTAAGGAATATGAAAGAGAAAGGAAGGAAGGAAGAATATGAGAACAGGAAGGAAGGAAGGAAGGAAGGAAGGAAGGAAGGAAGGAAGGAAGGAAGGAAGGAAGGAAGGAAGGAAGTCCTTGATTGCACTGAATAATTCTATACACCTATTCTAACACAAATAAAAAAGCTTCTGTTTTTGGGAAATACAATTATGTCCCTTTCTTCTATGCTAGATAAGTAAAAAATAGCCTGGTCCATTACGATAACGTCCATCTACATAGTATGTTTAGGTGTGTGTCATGTATGTGTTTCACTTTGAGAGCGGGCAACTAAATTTCATTTTTGATGTGTGCCGTTGTGCCCACAGTAAAAAAAATGACAATAAAGGTTATCTTATCTTATCTTATCTTATCTTATCTTATCTTATCTTATCTTATCTTATCTTATCTTATCCTATCTTATCCTATCTCATCTCATCTCATCTCATATCTTATCCAGGCATCCAGCTACTTCAAGGAGACTGTTCCAATTATTTCGCTGCCGGAAAGCGGCAGAACGGCCTCTACAAAATCACCCCGGACCCCAGAAACCGTAGCTTTGACGCTTATTGCGACATGGAGTCCTTTGGCGGTGGCTGGACGGTCTTCCAGATGCGCCAGGACGGCAGCGTCTCCTTCAACCGCACCTGGGAAGAGTACAAGAACGGCTTTGGGAACGGTAAGGAGTTCTGGCTAGGGAATGACAAAATTCATCTCCTGACCAAGAGCAAGGAGATGCAGTTGAGGATTGAGCTGGAAGATCTCAGCGGCGTCCGACAATATGCCAGATATGACCAGTTCTACGTCGCCAACGAGTTTCTCAAATACCGGTTAACCATCGGCAGCTACAGCGGCACCGCCGGAGACGCCTTGAACTTTAGCAAGCGCTACAACCACGATCAAAAGTTCTTCAGCACCGCGGACAGGGACAATGATCAGTACACCTCCGGCAGCTGCGGCGCCTATTATAGCTCTGGCTGGTGGTTTGATGCCTGCATGGCTGCCAATCTCAACGGCAAATATTATAACAAGAAATACAAAGGGGTCCGCAACGGCATTTTTTGGGCCACGTGGCCCGGAGCATCTGACGATAACATGAATGGTTACAGGAAAGCTTTTAGAAAGGTCAAAATGATGATCAGGCCCAAAATTTTCTTGCCATGAATCCCTTCTCCTTCGCCCGAATCCCTTCGTCCGATGTTGGCACTTTCCTCCAGATTTTGAGTGCAATTTAAGAAGAGTCTTGTCCGATTTTTTTTTCTCTTGCAAGCATTCCTCTTCCGAAGTATGCAGGCATCTTTTCCCCGACCAAATTCACGAGGGTATACGGCAAAACGTTCTCCAAAGGCGGCCATTTTAAGACCTGAGGACTTCAACTCCCAGAATCTCCCAGCCAGCCATGGCGAACGGCTCAGAAATCTGGGAGCTGAAGTCCACAAAAAATTGCCAAGTTCGGAGACCCACGGTATACACCAGTGATGGCGAACCTTTTAGAGCCCAAACTGCAACCCAAAACCCACTTATGTATCGCCGGGTGCCGGGTGGGTGTGGCCCATTGGGTGGGCGTGGCTGCGGTGGTAACGGCGGACTGGGTGGGACTAAAAAGTTCAATCAATCAATTCCAACTTTGCGAGATCTTTTTTTTCCTGCAAGAAGTTGAAATTGATTGATTGATTGATTGATTGAACGTTTGGTTTTTGAGCACACGGCGGCAGAGGCCTAAAGCGAAAAGGTTTTATAAAACCCAGCTGAAGGCCTAGGACTGGGGTGATGGCACGCATGCCCACAGAGAGGGCTCTGCATGCCACTTGTGGCACGCGTGTTATAGGTTCGCCACCACAGGTATACACAAAAGACTGCTTTACATGTTTGGACCAAATAATGCTTCAGCCTCCTGCATTTTTTCCAAATTTGGATTTAAGCTCATTTTGACACCGTGCCTTTGAAGGAATTCTGGTCATCTGGCATTGTTTTCTGGTCAAGCACCTCGCAAAATTTCAGATAACGAAGTCTAATTGGCCCCCCATTTTAACGCACATTCCAGAAACATATTGAGAAATGGTGTTTTTTTTTTTCTCCAGTCTCTTAGTTCAGTCTACTTTGCAGGGTTGTTCTTGGGATGAAGTGTGGGAAAGCCTTAATCCACTCTGCCTTGACTTTTTTTGGGGGGGGGGGGAAATGCTGCATGTAAATGTGATTTAACAGTTCGCTTCAAAGCCAGTGGAAACTAATTTGCCTTGCTGCTCTTTCCAAAGCGAGAAAAATATCTCTCTGTGACTGTGCTTTTCTGTGTAAATAATAGAGGTTATATTTTTATAGATGATGAGTTATTTGTTGCCACTGTCACTTTTCTTTATTGTGAACTGTGTCTAAATAGTTTGTAGTTGCATTCGTCTTTTTTTTTTAGTTAAAAACTATGAAGAATCTTGGAGCACCTTAACTAATTTTAGTTTTTTATAGTATGTTGTTGTAGTACGTTTTTTAAATAATTTTATTATAAAATGCGATCGTGTTTGTTATAGTATAAAAAAGACATGGACTACAGTCGACTTCGTTGGATGCACGAATCTGAAACGGTGGATTATAATCCAGAAAGGTTACATTCCAATTAGATGCTGTTCTCGTCTCTGATGAAATTTACTGAGCTTTGCATGTGAAATCTATTCGAATACTTATGCCAACTCTCCAAATGAGAACGTAAGTTAACCGTTGGGATTCACCCAGACAGGATCAGATGAATTTAAGTGCCACTGAAAAGAATGGCAGATGATTATCATGGCATTTGAAAACAGGGACAATTAATAGCACTAATACTTAGACTTATATACCGCTTCGCAGTGCTTTACAGCCCTCTCTAAGCAGTTTACCAAGTCAGCATGTGGCCCCCCAAAAATCTGGGTCTTCATTTTACCGACCTCGGAAGGATGGAAGGCCGAGTCAACCTTGAGCTGGTCAGGATCAAACTCCTGGCAGTGGGCAGAGTCAGCCTTCAATACTTCATTCTAACCCAGTGGTTCTCAACCTTTTTAATGCTGCGACCCCCAACCGGTCGTAAGTCGAGGACTACTCAACCGGTCGTAAGTCAAGGACTACTCAACTGGTGCAGCACTGTTTGCAGAATGGGACTTTTGGCGGGCTTAGCAGGGCAGAGACAGCCTGGACAATTCCTATTGGCTTTTGAAAGCCAATAGAATTAGACTCTATTCAAGAGAGTCTCTTCTATTGGCTTTCAAAAGCCAATAGAATAAAAGGGAGTAGCATAGCTAAGGAAAAGGGGGAAAAAATGGCGGACTGCGTTGTTTGGCGACCCCCGTGAAATGGTCGTTTGACCCCAAATGGGGTCCTGACCCACAGATTGAGAACCACTGTTCTAACCACTGTACCGCCATTACATTTAAATGAACTACAATTACATCGGCTCAATTAAGTATATCCCGTGGTAGGTTTAAAATGCTGGTTGTTGTTTTTGTTTTTTTCAATAGGAGAAGAAATAATCCCAAAACTATCCTTATGCTTACGGAAGGAAAACCATAATCTGACGTGCCACATTTAGATCAACAGCTGTCACATTAGGGTGAAAATTAACCTGTCATAGGATAACGCCATCCAGTCTTAATAATACTGATCACGGCTACAGAAACACGACACAGGAGGGACAGTCCCAGTCCAGACCTTTACAACAGCAAGGAATCCCTGACTGTTATATTGGCCAAATATAAGTAGCTTGCAGACCAACAAGCCTGCTATGCTACCATTGTAGTTTAGATTAGATTAGATAACCTTTGTTGTCAATTTTTTTTTCTGGTGGGCACAACGGCACACATTAAAAATGAAGTCTACTTTCTTGCTCTGAAGTGTTACTTACGTGACACACATTTAAAACAGACTACACACCACGTATGTATAGACCTGCACCCTTACCTTTAATGAACACATAAATGTACTGAGTGTAATGATAAATTCCTGCTAATGGCATGATTGCCGTATCGTGTTTTTCCATATCTAAGTGGGAACTGTCAGGAATAGAGTAGTATTGCATTCTTTTTAAGAGCCTCCCTCAGCCCTAAGCCGTTCCCCAGATCAGGGTTCACAGTCCAAGCTAAACTATAAACCACAAACAGCTGTTACAAACTCTACAAATACAGGGAGGGTGGAAATGATCCTATCTGAACCCAGAAAGTGTAACAACCGTGCTCAACTATCAGCTTTCCAAATCTGAGCAGTCCTTTTGCAAAGCTGGAGGTCAAACCCAAAGACGAGACAATGATACCCAATCAAACCCAACTCTTTTATCGTCTCGCGCCTAATGGGGAGAGTCTGGCCAGACTTTCTACAGCCTAATTAGTAATAGTAGTAAAGTTGGAAGGGACTTTGGAGGTCATCTAGTCCAACCCCCTGCTCAGGCAGGAAACCCTACACCATTTCGGACAAATGGCTTTCCGGTCTCTTCTTAAAAACTTCCAGTGTTGGAGCATTTACTGCTTCTGGAGGTAGGTTGTTAATAATAATAATAATAATAATAGTATTAATAATAATAATAAAGTTGGGAGGGACCTTGGAGGTCATCTAGTCCAACCCCCCGCTCAGGCAGGAAACCCTACACCATTTTGGACAAATGGCTGTCCAGTCTCTTCTTAAAAACTTCCAGTGTTGGAGCATTCACAGCTTCTGGAGGCAGGCTGTTCCACTGATTAATTGTTCTCAGTGTCGGGAAGCTTCTCCTTAGTTCTAGGTTGCTTCTCTCCTTGATTAGTTTCCACCCGTTGCTTCTTGTCCTGCCTTCAGGGGCTTTGGAAAATAGCTTGACTCCCTCTTCTTTGGGGCAGCCCCTGAGATACTGGAACACTGCTATCATGTCCCCCCTCGTCCTTCTCTTCATCAAACTAGACCTACCCAATTCCAGCAACCGTTCTTTATATGTTTTGGCCTCCAGTCCCCTGATCCATCTTTGTTGCTCTTCTCTGCACTCTTTCTAGAGTCTCAACATCTTTTTTTACATCGTGGTGACCAAAACTGGATGCAGGATTAAATATATCCTGAGCGATTCTGGGTATGGCTGCCTTGAACCTCCTCCTCCCTCCCCTGCAAAGCTGGGTGTGTGGACTGTGCAGCCTCTTCATCGGGGCCTCTTTGTGAGAAGCCTCTGAGTTGGCAAAAACACCCACACACCCACGCTCTGCCACTGCAGGTGCACAATCCGTCACACTGCACACCGCTGTTGCGGTCCCAGCAAGAGAGGGTGAAAACCAACGGGAAATTTGTCTCTGTCTTTGTTCTTCTCTGTATCGGCATTTGCTTTTCACTGCTGGTTGGGGGGGGGGGGGAAACTGTAAAGACCCCAGCTGACTTTTGTCAAATCTGCTCCTTGAAGCAACTGAAGGGGCGTTGATGGCAAGATAACTCGGTGAAGTAGAGAAGAGACAAATCTTAGGAGCTGGGCAGCGGGCCAGGGTGAGCATTGCTGTCATCAGGATACCATCTGCTTCAATCAGAGCAGAGCTAAAAGGGACCTTGGAGGTCTTCTAGTCCAACCCCCAGCTCAGGCTGGAAAGCCTGCCCCATGTCAGGCAAATGGCTGTCCAGGCTCTTCTTAAAAATCTCCAGTGATGAAGCAGACACAACTTCTGGAGGCAACTGGTTAATTGTTCTCACTGTTAGTTCATTCTCGCTTGCTTCTCTTCTTGAATTGTTTCCACCCGTTGCTTCTTGCTGCTTTGGAGTTGAGCCCCTTTTCTTTGCGGCAGCCCCTAAATCCTGGAAGACTGCTATCATGTCACCCTTACTCTTTCTTTGCTCTAGCACCAGCCCTATCTGGTCCTTGCAATCCTTCTCCACGTGTTTTACTAGTTAGCATTTAGCTTCACAGCTCCGAGAGTAAACACTCGTCCAATTCATAGCGGGGGAAAAGTTGAGTTGGCCGTGACCTAGCTCAGTTCCTCAAGAAAGAGCATGTGTTGTGAGGCACATTTGCGAGGTGTACCAACTCGAGGTCAGCCTGGAGAGAGGCTGCAAGAGGTAAGACTGACTTGGGAGTGATCAGATAGATGACTGGAATCAAGATGGCGCCCAACTGGTTAGCAAATCCATGAAAACACTCGTCGGGGATGTGTTGGCTCTTGAGCCCAGATTCTTTCCCCCCCCCCCCGTTGAAAATTGTTTCTGAACAATTCGGTCAGCATTTCCTGTCGTTCTCTAACAAAGATGAAGATCAGGTGGCAGGAGGAACACAGCCCCCTTACATAGGGTGATTGTAAATGCCATTCAAGGTGACTCAGTGAAGAATCCCAAGGCCGTAACATCTGAAGATTTCAGCTTGCTGGGTTGAGTTGGAACATTCCTAGCTACTACTTCGAGATCCTTCCTCCTACACGCTCTGTTTACTCTCCAACTTGACAGCACATTTTGTCCACTTAGTCAGAATTACTCATTCTGGAACGCTGTGAGGGGGAACATGCCGGTTGATCTTTCCTTCAAAAGCGTTCATATATTTGCCTAATTTTTAAAAGCTATTTAAAAAAAAGTTTTCCCCAGATCAGTACACCCCAGATGTATAGGGCTAAAGAGCCTATCATTCTTGGCATGATGGGAAATAC